ATAGATAGATAGATAGATAGATAGATAGATAGATAGATAGATAGATAGATAGATAGATAGATAGATAGATACTGTGACTACATCCAGCCACCTCCTTCTATGTCATCCCTTTCTTCTTTTGCCCTCCATCGTTCCCAGCATGAGGCTCTTCTCCAGGGAGTCCTTCCTTCTCATCAGGTAGCCAAAGCATTTGAGTTTCATCTTCAGGATCTGGCCTTCTAAAGAGCAATCAGGGTTGATCTCCTCTAAGACTGACTGGTTTGATTGCCTTGAAGTCCAAGGGACTCAATGCAGGAGTCTTCTCCAGCACCAGAGTTCAAAGGCCTCCATTCTTTGGCGCTCAGCCTTCCTTATGATCCAACTTTCACAGCCATACATTGCAACTGCATTTTGAAAACCACTGTGAGAATTTACCTTGGGTCATCTTTTCCAAGTAGCCGCAATATTCTTAAAAGCTGGATTTGCAACCAAGGGGCTGGAGTGTTGTGATAGTTATAATCCACAGGGAGCTTTCCCCCGACCACCTGCTTCAGAATTGTTACAAAGCTGCTTGTCAAATCCTTATATTCCGAGGAATCTTCCTAGACAAAAATACAACACACTCAAGTAAGATTGGATTGACAAGTCGAGAATTAACAATATTTCGTCGCCATGTTCACTGCATTTCATTAGAGTGTGAAAGCTAATGTTTTAACAATTTCTCACACCTGAAGGCAACTGACAGTTAAACATGAAACATGGAACAAGCACTCTCTGATCAGCAAGTACAAAATCTGTTTAAAATAATACATATCTCTAAGGGGTCTTCATCAGGCGGAGTATACGGTGCCCTTAAGTGTCATCTATAGAATCCACTTTTTAAAAGAAGCAAATGTCATTTTTAAAAAGGATTGAAATTTCACAGAGCTGTTAAACCTTGCAAGAATTCAGTGATATTGAAGGTAAAGGTTCCCCTCACACATCCGTGCTAGTCGTTCCCGACTTTAGGGGGCGATGCTCATCTCTGTTTCTAAGCCAAAGAGCCAGCACTGTCCGAAGACGTCTCCGTGGTCATGTTGCCGGCATGACTAAACACCGAAGGCACACGGAACGCTGTTACCTCCCCAACAAAGGTGGTTCCTATTTTTCTACTTGCATTTTTACGTGCTTTCAAACCGCTAGGTTGGCAGAAGCTGGGACAAGTAACGGGAGCTCACTCCGTTATGCAGCACTAGGGATTCGAACCGCCAAACTGCCGACCTTTCTGATCAACAAGCTCAGTCTTAGCCACTGAGCCACCGCGTCTCTTTCAGTAATATTACACGAGATTTCATTAGATATTAAGGATAAGACTGCGAAAGTATTTTAAGACTCCAATCGTTTCTCTCTTGCCCACTGGATCATAATTTTATTTTAGGACATGTTCTAATGCAGCAAGCTTTTTGTTCATTAAAGAGAACACTGGATCTTAGAATACTAGTTGACACTGAGATATAGTATCAGTAAGTGGATAAAGCAATTACTGAGACCGTAATTATTATGAGAAGGAACCATAAAAAGCATTGAATTAGCAGTGCAAAAAAAGGATTGGAATCTGAGCTAAATGCCCAAATCCCTATGATCTGTAAATATTATTTTCCAACTTTCTCTGTTCTCTGACTCACATACAATATTTATAGGCACGTAAAATGTGTTTTAATTTCAATCTTCAATCAGTTCGCTTCCCCCTTAAAAAACCATACCCTAAATATTTATATTATCCTCGTTGAATCATTTCTAGTACGGGTGAAAGCAGTTCTTGTTTACATTCTGCCACGGAATATGTGCTGTCACAATTAACACCCTAAGATGCTTAAGGATCCCACCTTCACCATCTGCAGATAGATGTGCAAAGAAGCTGCCATAACACCCACATCTCTATCACAAAGCGCCCTCCGGAATTTGTCGTGAATATGCTGGACTTGATTGGGAGCAATTAAGTAGAATTTGTAGAGTGCCTGGACAGCTTTTCTCCGAATAATTTCCCTAAAAAAAAAGAAAGAATCGGATTGAGTTGAGTTGAGCTCTTACATCCAGGATGACCCTGAGCCAGGGTTGAAATGCTAGTGGTTCGGGCTTGTTTGTCCGAGCTGGTATTAAAAAAATGCTTTAAAAAGTTTTTTTTAAGTTCCAAGGATCAGCTGTGCCACGATCAGCTGTGCTGCGCAATCGTGAGAACTTTTTTAAAAAGTTCCTTTTTAAAGCTTTTTTTTTTTTACTAACGATCAGCTGTGCGACAATAAGGTGTGCCGGATTATCTGTGAGGTTCCTGCTTGTTGCAGGGGGCAATTCGTGTGAAGTCCAGCTGCTTTTAGAGTCAGTTGTGCAGCCATGCCCACCCGGTCACATGATCACCAAGCCACGCCTGCCCGGTCATAATGACCAAGCCACACCCACCAAGCCACGCGGACAGAACTGGTAGGAAAAAAAATTGAATTTCACCCCTGCCCTGAGCTCTGCGTTTACAGAAGCTTTCTAAGATCTCACAAGCTTCACACATACTGTCAGCTGCCACCCTATGTCGTGGCACGACAAAACCGCGGTCCACTAAAGCGCGCCCGATTAAACCGCGTCGCTGAAGTAATCAGCAGCGTGACAACAGCGACCGCGGAGAAAAAAGGGCGCTTTAAAAAGCGCTTTGAAAGCAAGCCGATTCAAGTTAAGGTAAGGGTTAGGTTTAGGTTTAGGTTTAGGGTTAGGTTTAGGGTTAGGTTTCGGGGGGTTAGGTTTAGGGGTTAATTTTAGC